TCCCTAAAAAAAAAAAGTTTGATTTCTAATTTTTTTTAGATGAGACAAAACTCACTTCGCTATACATGAATTAGGTTTTTTATTTTTTATTTTTTATTTTATTATTGATGAGATGCAACTAGAAAAAAAAAAAAAAAAGATATCATGATGTTGGGGCCGGTCATATTTGAATATACAATTGCTATCTAAATTAATTGAATTTTTTTTTTTGTGCCGATGCTCATAAATTCAGATGTTCTCATGAACATTTGTTTAGAACTAGACAAGAGATCTAATAAAAAATTCAGTGATGTTATTAACCATGTATGTTGTAGCATTATTTTTTTCCCCATCTTTTGAATCGTTTTCATTCAGCTACTTACCACGTTGAATACTGAAGTACTTTATGACTAAAGGACAGTCAGACAAAGTAGGAGTACAGGCTGAAGCGATCAACGATAAACTTCAAACTAAATGCACTTTAATTCAATGTCGTGCTGTTTGTACAGCCAAATATATTAGGCAAATCCCCACGTTTTGTTTGATTATACAATAATAGTGTGAAAGAGATGCACACTCACACATGTCGACGACGAGAGAGCCAAGATAAATACAATTAAACATGTATTTAATTTCTTAAATTTAACAAATTTGTTTTTAATATTTTAAATTTAAAATTAATTTTTAATTTTATAATTATTTTTTTATATATTTTAATTCTTATACTCAAGTTTTATTAAAAAATTTATTAAATATTATCGTATAAAATTTATTTGTTGATGTTTTTAATAATAAAAATATTATATTAAACTTAATTGATGAAATATAATTATCTCAATTTATCAATTTTAGATTATTATTAGTGACATGAAAGATTAGAACAAATTTTTTTAAAATTTTATAAATTAAAAATAATAATTTTAAATTTAAGATAAAAAATAAATTTATCATAAATTTAAAATACTAAAATTATAGTTAACCCTAAAAATAAAAATGATGGGAGAAACATCATTATTTATATAATTCCGAGTTTGTACTGTTATGTACAACTCAGTTTCCCATTCGTGCGAATATATTAAATCACCTATTGCTCGTGTGAGAATTGAATCAAACTTTGGTGTTGGTGTGTGTTTATATATAAATATATATAAACAAGAGAGAGCTCGCAGTTTAAGCTTTCAACTTTCAAAACAACATATATAGTTTGGGGTTTGAAACTAAAGGGGTAGTCATCAAAATGGGTAGAGCTCCATGCTGCGAGAAAATGGGGTTGAAGAGAGGGCCATGGACTCCAGAAGAAGATCAAATTCTCATCAATTATATCAACACTTATGGCCATGCTAATTGGCGTGCACTGCCAAAACTAGCTGGTACGTGTGAATTGAAAGAGAGTAATTATTTGAAGAAAATTAAATAGGAAGTAATTCAATTATATGTTATACACATGCAGCATCACTTCTCATGAATATAATTAACCAAAGTTTTTTTCTCTCTTTTTGTGATCCACAGGGCTGCTAAGGTGTGGAAAGAGTTGTAGACTAAGGTGGATAAATTATCTGAGACCAGACATCAAACGGGGCAACTTTACCAGAGAAGAAGAGGATGCTATAATCAGCTTGCATGAAATGTTGGGAAACAGGTTAACTATTTTTTGTTCTTCCTTTTGGCCCGTCTTTTGGTGCATTAAATATAAGTTAATCCAAGTTAACTTCAACTTAAAGGGAAGACAATCCTTTCACCGAAAACCAAGAATAAAAAGAAGTACTGAATAGCCAAGACTCAAACAGTGAAGCAAAGATTCCCGAAATATCTTCATCATTTCTATATGCATGTGGGGTCGTTTTCTATTCTGTATCATGAAACTGATGGAGGAGCAGATGCATGTGACTTCATAAACTTGAACTCTTGGTAGCTAGTATACAAACGCATATTAAATTATTTCTCGGCAGCCTCGTTTTTTTTTTCTTTTTCTTTTTAATATTATTATATTTTAAAAGAAAGGGAATAGTTTAGTTACTGTTCTTTTTTGGTATCATGGTTTGGCTTGGGGCCCATGAGCACTTTGATATTTTCTTAGTTTTTAAGGGAAGCAAAATCATAACCAGTTGGATATGTCGGCCTGCAAAGATTCTCTCTTTTGCTGCAACATTTTCACGTGCTTTTGTTTTTCGGGTTTAAAAATATAACACATTAATAATTCCATAACATGATTACGATTACTGCTTGCGACTTGGATTCCCTATTTTATTTTTTAATGAATAATTTCAACATATTGTGCCCTAATCTTGTGATAACAATATATCTGGTGCAGATGGTCAGCTATTGCAGCCAGGTTGCCAGGTAGAACAGACAATGAGATAAAAAACGTGTGGCACACCCACTTGAAGAAGAGGCTGCCACAAAATTACCAAGAGTGCCACGACCCTAAACGAAGCAAAAAACAACCCAAGTTGGACGTTGTTGACGCCTCAAAATCCAACCAAGACGCCAAACTAGAACAAGAACAAGACCCCTTGAATTCTCCCATTCATGCATCATCAACCAAAGAAGAGGACATGCCACTGTCTCCTCCACAATGTTCAAGCGACATGTCTTCCCTCACCACTAGTGACAACAATAGTAGCATTAATAATCATGACATGTCCTTAAATGTTAATGATATTGAAACGCCGGAGAATAATCTTGCATTAGATGAGGATTTCTGGTCCGAAGTGTTGTCTTCCGATAATTCAGGTGAGACAAACGGGTTTCCAACCATTGATGTTGACTTTGATCCGTTTCGACCAATGTCTCATGTCACCGAAGATGGGGTTCTTATAGATAGTTCGTCAAGTATCTGCGATGGCATGGAGTTTTGGTGCAATATTTACACGAGAGCTGAGGAATTCACTCAGTTGCTGGAATTGTGATGTTAACTATATTGTTCTTGTTTTTTTCATTTGAGATCACGTGAATTTTTCATGGATGCATGCTATTGGGTTCAAAGAGCGGTAGCATCCACGGCAAAGTTATTCCTCGGTTAAATTAAGTTGGAACAACTTCTTCCTCACATGCAGGTTAAGAGATCAAGTGTTAATTTGCATTCAATATGGAAAACAAAAATTACTGTTCTTGTTCTATTGTTAGGACTTGAATTAATTGATGTCAGTTCTATAGTTGCTTAGGTGATTAGAAATTAATATATTGTGTACATTGATTATTGTTACTGGACGTGAATGCCTTTTACCAAAAGCCTCATTGGTAGCAAATAACATTGTTGTTTATTGCTTAATCATTAATTACGGAAGTTTAGAATTTGGATAATATTGAGAAACTAGCAATGAAAAATACACTGTGTCTTTCTGAAAAAAACAAATATATTTTTTTTAAAAGAAGTGAGTAGTTATTATTTTTTTAAAAATATTATTATTTGTATATTCATTCTTTTTCTATTTTATCCTTAGATATATATATATATATATTGGTGAAAAAAAATTAAAATACAAATATAAGGATATAATTGTCTTTTGAAAAAGTGGACTCTAAGAAAAAATATTTTCTTTATATATTGTAATAGATTATGTAAAATATATAGCTAATTTGGTTCCATTTTCACTCATAACAAAAAATTATATTATATGCTTCAATATTTTTTGTAGATTAATGTTTTTTTTTATTGTATTTGAACACAAAAAATTGATATCATAATTTTTAATACAAAAAATTAAATCATGCTAAAAAATCAGATTAAGTTAGAAAAACAAGTTTTGCTTCCTTTTTAAAATTTTCTATTTATTTAATTTTATTGTATCTAAGAATTTCAAGTAATTTTTTAGACAAAAATTCAAATTAGTTGGCTTTGGATTAAAATATAGGACTATTTATATGTGATGGTCTGTTTTATTTTCGCTCATCACTATTTTTTCTATTTTCTTATTCATTAAAAGTTTTACATTAAAAATAAAAGAAAAACAAATATCGCAAAAAAATAATTATCTTTTAACATTTCTCATCTACTAAATAAAAATAAAGTTAATTGAATTTTTTAATATTAAAATTAATAAAATCTTATTCAAAAATAAATATTATTAACTAAAATTATGTAAATTAATTTGGATATTAAGCATAAGATTACATAGGTTCTAATATTACTAATATTGATTGACATAAATAATAGTGATTTGTGTCTTTTAATCAAATTATTCAAAATTTGAATCATGGTCTTAGATGTAAAATGAATTATTTTAAGTTCATGGTTCATGACGATGATTAGTTACTATTTTTGATAGTTAATATTTTTTATCGATATATACTATGATTAAAAAAATATAGGTTCTAATATTAATTTAGAAATTGTAAAAAAAATAAAAATAAAACAACTTTACTAAAATATTATATTAAACATTTTTAACATTAAGGTGTGATATGAGATATCGGTGTAAGAGGGTCAAACTTGCAATATCTCACCTTTTCTCTTCCTACCCAGAACTTGTAGCTTCTATGTAATAAAAAATTAAAACTCTTCATTTCCCCCCTCCTTTTTAATTAATTATACTAATCACACCGCCGTCATCTTTTTTCCAACACAGTTTGTGATCATATCTTACGAAGATTTGGAGTTATCCGATTAGAAAAAAACTCAGATTAGAGGCTTACCATGTGAAAAATGATAAACGCTTAGGGGTGGAGGGACAAGAGGAAGAGAGAAAAAATAACAAAAGAAAAAAAATCATAAATATAATAAAAAAATATTAAGAAAGATAAAAAAATTCAAAATAAGTTATGAAAAAATTAAATATATGATTATAATTAATTACTCTTATAAACATCCATTTCACAGTTTGTTTGGTTGGTAAGAAGCATACCTATATTCTAGAAAAAATGTGGAGTTGGATTCTAATTGTCAATGCAAATTTACAACTTTGTTGGTGGATAATTTGAAAAAAAAAAAACAAAAAATCACTCTTAGTCAATAACATGGGTGTCTCTTTTGTGCGGCTATATATAGTTTGTTTTTGTTTTGCTGTTTTGTTTCCTGTTGATAAAAAAAGGGGAAGTAATTTTGTTACTTGTTTTACATTAAAAAAATTAATTAAAACAGACAATAATCAAATCAAATCAAATTTCCTTATGTAGAGTGTGTCGCTTTTATACTGATTATTAATTAAGGTGGTGTGTAAGAGTAAAAAAAGTCAAAAAGGTGCACTACCAAATTTTGTATTTTTTAGCCGATAGATGTAATGTAAGTATGTAACGACGTTTCTTGACTTTCTTCATATTTTCTTGGACAATGTTGCAACTTGCAAAGCAATAGCGAGGAGCAAAATGGGGTCCACAAAGCCCAAAGAGCAGCAATCCTCAAAAGCCCACAAACTGACCCACTAACTCCACACTAATCGAACGAGGGAAATCTATTTATACTCTATATCTCTTTTATTTATTTTAGCATTTTTTTTGGTACATTATTTTTAAAATTTTATATTTCAATAAATTTTTTATAGTGTTTGATTTTATTATTCTGAAAATTAAAATTTTAAATTATCTAAAACTATTAAAAAAAAAAACTTCAAAAGGTTAATCTTTGAAACTCAATTTTGTTCATGTATTTTCAAAACACATTTAGAACCACTGAAAATAAGTTTCCATAACATTTTCCATCTTTTATATTTGTTGAATTTCAGTGGTGAGTGAATTTGGGTAGAGAAGGTGCATTGGTTTGACGATGAAAAAGGTGGTGGGTTTGGATTCATGGGTGGTTGGTGCATGAAAATGAGTGTGTGGTGGATGCTTAGGGTTTGAGCATGAGAAGGAACAGTATGCGATGATGGTTGTGCGGCGATGCAATGTTAACATTTCATGTTTCAACTATCTATTTTTTCTTCTTCAGGAAATTAGTTTTTAATTTAAATCTATAAATTACAACTTCATTTTTTTTATTTCAATTGAATAATTACGGTTTCTAAAATGTTAGCAGTTATTTTTTTATATAGTAATTATGTTATTAATATAAAATATATTCACCAACTTTAGTCATGACTAATATTAGACCAATCACTTTTTAGTAGAATTTTATTTTCAACTATAACTTTTTCACACACAATTTTAGTCTTATTATTATTTCTTTTATTAAAATTTATAACAAATTTTGCTGACAAAGCGTTTATGAATAATATAACGTTAATGATATAGCGGTCTTGTGTGAATAATATGACATGCGAAAAATTAATCAAGAGACTAAAAATATTATTTTAAAATATAAAATTTAATCTTTCAAGATTTTAATTTTCTAAATATATTAATTTTTTTAATAATCTTGAAATTTACTTTTCAAAATGTATTAAATTTAGAAATCAGAAGTTAGAATTCAACATTTATATATATATATATATATATATATATATATATATATATATATATGTGTGTGTT